ATGAACTGGGGGTTGAACCCAGCCATTCTGTTGTCCACATAAGTTATAGAAAAGTATGTCTTTTTTCTTTTGGGGCTGCATTTTTGCTTTGAGAATAACTTCTTCCTGTTACTGTTCAAAGTGATCAATAACTGAAACATCGTATTTTGTTTAAATCTGAGAAGCATGTCATCGAATTGCTGTTAGTTATTCCTTATCACATAAGTCAAAAGAAGTCTCTGCATGGGAGAAGAGAAGGCAAAACAGTGGATGAAACAGAAGGATGTGCAGAAAAATCCATATATGTAGATGTCTAACAATAATATTTCAAATGCTCGGGCTAGAGACAGAAGATTTCTACAGTATGTTTATATTCATCTCATATTCATCTCATTCGTTTCCTACAAGAAGCTAGAGTGATGTTTTACCCTCACGACAACTCTATGAGGTAGGTTAGACTGAAACATAATTACTGATTCAACACTACCTCATACTAGTAGCTTCATTAGGAGCTGAAAGAAAGCTTCCCATCCTGGCTGACTCTTTTTTATACATCAGGAAGATTATCCACTTTCCCAGCTAAACTAATTTGGAATAATATGTTCTCAAGACCAAAAAAGTATATGATGATAAAGCCTGTAATCTTTATTCAATGTAACCAGAGAAAACAAGCACACCCATTTCTAGACGAGAAGAGTCTACAAGATGGCCCTTGTGAATTTATAGTATCAGAGATTTTTTTAAAAATGGATAAATATTGATTGCAAAATGAAGGTATGAAGGTCAAATGTCTTCCTATGAATAAAATCTGTATTTGTTTTGCCAACATACTACAAAAGGAAATGAAAGGCCAATCAACAAGTTCTTCCCAAGCTGATACATGGTAAAAGAAGATACTGAAGTTACCATGTGTTGTGAAATCAGTTTGGATGCAACACATCAGCTTCAGCCAGTAAGGACCCATCACAAAACGCCACAGTTCTTTAAGATGGTAAGTGCTTTTGGCTCAATACCAATTGGTCTTTCCTTATCTGTATAGTATAAATAACTATTTGAATAACAACCTAGAACAGGTAGGCAATTATTTTTTGTTGCTAAATACTATGAAACAATCATAAAGCAATTTGCTAAAAGGGGCGGGGGAAAGGCTACAGTTCTAACATTTTGAAGAAATGTTTGCTTTACTGTGTTGTTATTGTGCTCTGGCCTTGAATCAATATAGTACTCATCTGTCAGTTTTTAATCTTTTCTTTCTCCCTTGTTTTGCCTATCCAAGGTACATTGTAAGCCTCTAAGGACATAATTCTATGCATGTAGACAGCAAAAAGTCCTCCTCCTAGCATTCTTCAGCTAGCCTATTGGCCAGAGAAAGCTGGGAGTCCTGGGCATGTTTCTGTATAAATATGCACAGGATTACACCTTAAGTATAACACCTAAAACAACTTTGACACTGGACTGAAATTAAATAATAGTAGTAGCAGCAATTTAAACTGAAAATCAGTTGGGCTTTTGAAAAATATAAACGTTCTAGCACAATGGGATTCTATCCAGCCTGAAGAGAACATTACTAGCAGAATGGATTTCCCTTCTTCACTGTGGCCCACCCAGTTCTTATCTAAAGAGTTGGGTGGTTCTCTGAACCCTTAGAGGGCATGTATAGGACAATAGGGAGAAGGAGGGAAAATTGAATCACATTTAAGTTTGGAGACAGTATACATTAAAACAGTAACATCAATATCATAACAATATAAGTGGCAACAAATACAACCAGAGAAGCAATGCAAAAGCATCACTGTATTTACATAAACATGTTCACAAATATACCAGGAAATTTAAAATGTTTTAGTCTAGCATAAAAAAACTTAAAATAGTGCCTGTCATGCTTCCTTAGAGAGGGATGTTATTTATTTATTTATTTATTTATTTATTTATTATTTAACGTTTTTATATGCCGTCCCCTTGCTACATAGCCTCGGGACGGCTTACAGAGATCGTCTGCAGAATTTGAAGCACAGCATGGTCTGACACAAAGAAATACTTTTTACCCAGCTCATGACTGACCCCTGAAAGATCAAAATCTATAAACCTGTGAAAGTCCTTTCTGTTCTGTGTGGTGTTGACTAAGCTGAGTGTGGTGAACATGGCCACAACGTATTGCTAACCGAAGCAATTTTCACCTCTCCAATGTTCTCATGGGCCAGCGCTTCACCCAGGCAAGATCTGATTGGCTCCATGCATTGCTAATCAAATGTTAAAAAAAGAGTAGTGTAACACATAGTGGTTTGTTGTGGGGATGCAGCCTTCATCAGCTGAGGTATTCATGCTTCCTTCAGCACAGTAACAGACATGGGGACATGTCTGCAGCCACCTGGAAAAGTCCTATTTGGGGGCCCTCCTGGACCCCCTGATCGGACAATGCCTTCTCTTAGTTTGTTCCATCTGACAGTGCCCTTATTCTGGAAGAGTTCCTTTTACAAGTTGCAATCCATTGCCATGGGTGACATATCCATGGCCTATTATTCTTCATCCAAATTCACATATCATGTCAAGCCAAGGCAAGAATGGCTTGTTGTTATATGTGAATCTGGGAGAATTGTCAAGCATGGCATACTTAGTACCGTGAATCCCCATGGAGAAACAATGCTTTCTTCTAGAATTTCCACATTTCCCCCTTGCTTTTCATGATATGTAAATCAAGCTACAATATTTTTCAGTAATTTCCCCATTCCTGACAGTGGGTTGGCGCCAAGAGCAACTGCAAGGGTTGCAGCCACTCGAACCACCATTTTCTGCTGCACTGCTCTCCACACGATGGCCGAGTTGCAGGTGGACAGAGCACTGATTGGCTGTCTCCACACTCCGTCTTTCTCCCCGGCACATACCCTCCAATGCTCAGCTGGATTGCCCACCCCACCCACCACCTTGTCTCATTTCCCGCCTCACACAACTTTGTGTCAAACTTTGTGGGAAAGAGAGGCGTCTCAGCAATCCAGCAATGTGGTAAGTGATATAGAAGGGCAACTTGCACTTGCAGCTGGACCCAAATGTTACCTCTGAAATGTGGGAGCAGCTTCAGCCTGCTCTGATCCTACGTTTTAGTCACATGTGTAAGCATCATATGACTGAAAAGTAGCATAGTAAATGATGCATGTAGTGCTCCATCCCGTTGGTTCAGTGTTTCATTTAAATCACATCTCACACATCGTTGCCACTGTTATGTAATAATTACGTTAACACTCAGTTGGTTACCACTTCCCATTATGAAATTAGATCACATATTGATATCATATTAAATATATTTTTAAAAAATATTCACACGAACAAACACTAGGGCGACAAAAGAGCGGAAACTCCTATTTTTATAGAATGCTTTGATTCGAAGATCTTCAACTAACCAATAAATGTGGTTTGTCATTAAAAGAGAATGGAAACAAAATGGTTTGATCTCATTTTTTTGTTGTTCCTTGGAAGAAGATCTTATTTAAGATCTTAAATAACCAAGGCCAAGGCATTAAAGATAACATTGTGAAGTAAGAACTTTATACCCGAGAATTTTCATAATGTTTTATTATCCATGCTAGTATCTTCCCGTAGCTGCATTGGTTGGCAATTCCATTGGTCATATGGAAGAATCCCCATCAGTATTTTAATAATTTCCAATGACTTAAATAAACTTCACCTAAATTGATAAAAGGTTTGCTATTTTGAGGATGGATTGACTTAGTCTTCTTTCTCTTTGAAGGACACTCAAGCGCCTCTTGAGTTGCTCCTTCCATAAGAGATGCAAGATTTGCACATGGAAGATAATTCCTATTGGAGTTGTTTTCAAGGTGTATCAATTATTGCAAAGTGAACCCTAAAATACACATTTTCTTAATGGGTTTAGTGGTTGCTTCCTCCAATGGTAAACACAGCTTCTTCATATGGGTAAATTTCATTGGCTGTTGCATGTAAAGAGGGATTTCAGAACATACTGATGCAAATAATGCTTCCACAACATTCTATGCAAATGGTCAGGAGCACTGCTGCATGACCACGTGATAGCATCACATGAGATGACGTCACAAGACCACGCCCCCGATGGGTGACGTCACGAAACAAAGTCACGCGGGGATGTCTACTTTTTGTTTGTTGAGGTGTCAAAACACGAGAGGGAAGATGAAGGTAGCAGGTGATCAGTTTTGGGATTGTGGCATTCTAATGGACTCCTAGAGCGCTCCCCACAAGCTGAACTAGCTTTCCTAGAGAGTTAGTGCTGATGGAGGGAACCAATGGGAGCCTTGTACCAAGTTTCTTCTTATTGGTCAACTGTCTGATATGCAAATGAGAGGGGACGTCACTTCCTGGGACAAATCGAGCGCCATTTTCTCTTTCTGGCTCTGGAAGGAGGGAGGAGTAGCCGGAGGTGGGTGGATGGAAGCGGGGGTTTAATCGTGGTGAAGGAAGCCGGGCATAATAGTGTATGGCCGGCCGGCCGGCCGCCGCCTGGCCAGTGATGCTGCTTCTCCGGCGGCCTGTGCCTGTGCTACTGGGGCACTGAGCGCGGGCTGCAGGACGGGACGAGGAGGAGGAGGAGGAGCCGGCCGAGGCTGGGCGGGGCGGCCGCGGAGCGAGTGACCGGCCGACCAAGCGGCGGCAGGCAGGAGGCGGGCGGGCGGGCGAGGAGGAAGGCGGCGGTGGAGGCTGCAGCGCGGCCGCGCGCCTCAGGGAGGCGCCAGCGCGAAACGGGCGGGCAAGCGGCGGGCGCCCCCTGCAGCCCGGACAGGTAGGTGCGAGTCCCGCGGCGGCGCGCGCTCCCTGCTGCTGGCGGCGCCGTCCGTCTCCCAAAGGTGCGCGACCTGCGGCGGAGAGGAGCCCGCCCGGCGCTGCTCGCGAGGCGCGCTGTCGGCCGAGCCGGAGGACGGCGGCGGCCTCATGGGGGCGTCTCGCGTCCCTGGCGGCCGCCAAAGATGCGGAGCCGCGGCAAACGGAAAGGACTTTCCCTCTGCCGGCGCTGCGAGTCGATGCCGCGCGGGTGATAGCGGGACGAGGGAAAGGAGGCTGAAGAGCCCGCGGGCGTGCGGCTTGCAGCTTTTCCTCAGGCGCCCGACGCTGCCGCCACCTCTTTCACCTGCCATTTCAGCGATTTCAGGAAACCCCCGGCAGCGTTTGGGGCGGGAGGCGGGAAGCGCCTGCTTTGTGCCTCGGTAGCCACCGGGAGACCCGTTGTGGCAGAAGGAAAACAGTTGGCACAACCTGATAAGGGGCTATAGGAGCTTGGATTGTAGGGATTTCCGGAGGGTGGCACCGCAGGGAAATCAGTAGTGAGTCTTGTGGCGCCCTAAAGACTAAAACATTTATTCTTGAATAAGCTTCGGTCATGTGCAATAGCCCACAAAACCTCATGCCAAAATAAATTTATTAGCGTTTAAGGGGGAGCAAGACATTCTAGGATTTTCAGTAAAGCCTTCGCAGTAATGTTAGAGATACAGAGTGGAATAATCTGTCTGGTGGTTTATGTGTGACTTTACTTAGCTGTTTTGACATTTTTCTGCCCCCCTCCCCCACCCCGGACTCCAAGTTTGGTTTATTTATAAGTTCAGGTAATTTACATTCTTACAAGGTGGAAAGAAAGACTTGGTAGCTCACAGTTACTAATGCAAACCATTCTGCTTAACATGTAGTAAATCATCTCTGTTTGCCATGCATATGAAACAATTCATATTAGAGCATTGTTTAATATAGGCCAAATTAAACTGAACCTTAGAAGCTAAGAGCCAGAGTTTTTCTTAGCTGCATTTATGGCAGCCAGAGATTGGGGGGAAAAAAAGCTTGATGAATTATTTTAATAGTTCTTCACTCTGCCTGAACTAATGTTTCATGAAGGGAGTCTGAGAAACTGAGGCAAATAGCGGTGATAAAAAAATGAAGTTCTCAGTGTTACTGACCAGCTGAAAGTTAATTCACTAAGTTCTTAAAATAACTCAAACATGAAATTGCTGATCTTCTAACAGAAATACGTTACATGATCTTGAGATCAGTCTCTGAAGCTGAGAAATGGAGAATTGTCAAATACATTTTAAAAAAGGGATCCAGCGAGGTCTGTTAGCTTAACACCTGTTTCAGTTAAATTGGTTGATAGCATTAGTAAAGATACAGTTGGTAAGAATATAGAAGGATATCTACATGCTGTACCATGAACTAGCATGTCAAGTCACCTTTGCTAAGCTGGAAGGGTGCTGACCTGCAGCCAGTTAGGAGACAACATGTAGAAGTGGAGCAAGGAGTTGGATTTGATGGCTTTGTAGGCCACTTCCAACACTATTACGATTCTATTCTGAAACTCCGCTGAGAAAGTATCAACATTGCTTCTGCAAAGGTAAATCCTACTTCACTAACCTTTTGGAATTCCTTGAAAGCGTCCATAAATGTGAACAGGTGTGATCTGGTAGAATTTACTTACTTGGACTTACTAAACACTTTTCACATAGTACTTTACCAAAGACTCCTGAGCAAACTTAGAAGTAGTGGAATAAATGGAGCAGTTTGCTTATGGATCATTAACTGATTAAAAATCAGAAAACGGAGAGTAAAAATGGTAAATCTCCCAACTGAGTGATGTAAACAGTTGAGTCCCAAGGGGATCTGTATTGCGATTATTGCTTTTTAATGTCCTCATATATGATCCATTGAACAGTTAGGTGGCCAAGGTTCTGATGATAACTAATTATTTAGGACAGTTAAAACTGTAGGATCGTGAGGAGCAAAAGAATATCCCCAAATGGGGAATGAACATCAAAATGCAAATGTGATTCAGGTTAAGCAAATTTAAAGTGATGGATGCTGGTGCAAAAAATCCCAACTGCAAATATAAACAGAGTTGTTGAGATTGTGATGGACAGCATGATGCAAGTGTCAACCCATCATAGTATGAAAAAATCAAAGTTCTTGTTAGACCAAATTAGGAAAGAAACTGAGAAGATCAAGATCATACTTGCATTGTATATATCAATGGTGCATCCGCACTTAGAATATTGTGTACTACTCTCATCACTGCACCTAAAAAGGGTATTGTAGAGTTAGAAAATGTAGAAAGGGGCAAGGAAAATTATCAAAGAGATGGAGTAACTCCTTTGCAATGTCTGGGAATATTTTGTTTAGAAAAAAGTCAAGTACATGGAAACATGATAGAGATGTACAAAATGATGTATGACTTGGAGAAAGTGAATACGGAGTCACTTCTCCCTTGCATAATACTAGAACCTGGGGACAGAATCTGGTACTGGAAGTTGATTGGTGGGTGTTTCAGGAAAGGAGATGATGATTATAATTTATTTCATTTCTGCATAGCCAGAAGTGTGGCTTCTAGATCAAGAGAAGTATTACTACCACTCTATATGACTCTGGTGCACCCACAACTGGAGTATTGTGCTCAGTTTTGGGCACCTCATTACAGAATGGATATGGCCAAGTTAGAGTCAGTGCAGCGTAGGGCCACAAGGTTGGTGGCCGGTTTGCAGGAGATGGGGTATGAGGCGAGACTGAGGGAACTGGGTCTTTTCAGCCTGGAGGAGAGGAGACTCAGAGGGATATGTTGGTGACATACAGGTATGTGAGGGGATGTCACACGGAGGCAGGTAGAGACCTGTTCTTCCCTGCAGAGGAAGGCAGGACGCGCTCCAATGTAGCAAAGCTCAGGGAGCCAAGGTTCCATTTGGATGCCAGGAAGCACTTCCTGACAGTCAGGACCCGGAGGGTGTGGAATGGGCTTCCACGAGGTTGTTGAGGCCCCATCAGTGCGGGTGTTCAAGGATAGGCTGGACATGCACATGGTGGGCATGTCATAAGCGGAGCTGGCTGGAGCCAGAGGTCAGACTAGATGGCCCGGGAGGCCCCTTCTGACTCGCTCTGTTTCTTTGTATTGTCCAAAGCTCTCTGGGAGGTTCACAACTTTTCACAAAAAGACAAAAACATACACAAAACAGTATAAAATCTTATATTTGCAAAATTTAAGCTGCTGAAACAGGTTTTCAAAACAATTTTTCCAATTCACGAAGGCTATGAAATTCCTGTGAGAACAGGACACTCATAATCTGATGCTGAAAAGGTCTTCAGTGGGCAGATCATTCCCTCACAGTGGGGAGACCTAGGGACCAGCACTGAGAAGGCAATGGAGGTGGCACTCAGGGGAGGTCCCAAGATGTTGATCATAGTCTCTAGGTGGTCGAAGTTTGGGAGAGACCCTTGGTCAGGTTTTGTGATTCCAGATTGTGTAAAGCTTTAAAGGCTAGAGCCAGCATCTTCAGTTGGGCTCAGAAATGCACAGACAGCTAACACAAGCAGGAACTGCATTGGCACACAGTTAAACTTTTGCAGTATCTAGCGAACGCCTTTGATTTGGATTGTTTTAAAGGGGGATTGGACAAAATCATGGAGGATCAGACCATTGATGGCTGCTAGTTCCAGTGGCTGTATGCTGGCTGCTTTACCACATAGTCAGTATGTCGTCGTACACCAAGTGCCAGGGACATAAGTGGGAGGGTGCTGTTGCACTCATGCTCTGCTTGAGGGCTTCTCATGGGCGACTGATTGGCCACTCTCTGAACAGAATTTTGGACATGATGGACTTTTGTCTGATCTGGTATGGTTCTTACTGTCTTATGAACGCTCAGGCAGAAAATGAAGCGACTGATCCAGGTCAGTCAGTGATTCCATGACTGAGAATGCAATCCTTAGCACACTTACTGAGAAGTAAAGATTTCTGAATAAATACACATAGACTTGCACTGTGTATTCTCAAGGTTTGGTACTGATGGGGCCTGTTTGATTCTAGAATATTTTTATGCATGAACTGATGTGAGCTGGTTTTATTGGTTTCTTGAAACATATAGAATATACGCAGGCAAACTACAGCCCTTGAAGGCCTGAGACGGCTGATTTCCCCTGAATCACACAAATAACACTACTATAACACATGGGATATTTGTCTGGTGGCCTGGGGGACCACGATTATGAAGATGGGGATGGATTTGGTGCTAGTGTGACTTCAATAGGGGGAATGACATGCGGAGATGCATCTCTGGATATTCTCCCATTTAATTGATGCATCCTTTCCCCCCACC